TAAATATAATAATTCACTGTGTATTTGTGTAACTTTATTAGCAGCGTCCACCTGAAATGCACCAACAACATTGAAAGTAACAGCCTCCTCTCTGGTCGCTATGGTGACGCATAAACATTCCTTTCAAAATAAGACACAGCTACAAAACAAAGTACATGAAAATATATAGAAAATGAATTCATAACACAAGACCCAGGGAAACAGAGTTAACAATAAAAACCCTGAAAACCGTCAGTTTCACACCCGAGCCTAAACTCTCACGGCCCGGTACCAAACGACTCTCGGACCGGTCCATGGCCCGGGGGTTGGGGGCCGCTGCCTTAATACACTGTACAGTTTCACTATAAGCCTCAAAATAGTTTTCGTAGCTCCACTCTAACATGGAGCTCATAACTCAGTGCTTTGCATGTTGTGGCTTATTTAGTGTTTTTAAATGTGTGTGAAACCATAAAATATTTGACAAAAAGTTAATATCCCTTTTTTTAAAATTAAAAGTTTATCATTCAGAAACTTTCACAGTCCCACCCACCACTTTTTAAAACTGGAAGTGTTGCATCTCGCCAGCAAACAGTGCCGTTCTCAGGGATCCATTTTAGAAGCTGGTATTTTTTGTTAATGGCCTTCAGTGCTGCTAATGAGCATCTTATTCCTTCCAAGAAAATCCGTCCTTGAAGCCAGCATCTCCACATGTCCTGCACTGCCTCTTTTTTCTTTGGGTTCAGCCTTCTTTGGCTGCTGTTTTATCAATGTTGCAATCAATAATCCCAAAGCAGAATATTTATTAATTTAGACTCACTTTAGCCCTTAATGCACTAAAGCAGTCATACAGATTTTATGGCAGATCTAACTGGCAGAGCAAAGTGAAATCAGAGGCTGCTGCCGGTGGACTTTATCTCGATTGTGCTGGCTTCAGCCTGCCGTCATTCTCGTTGCTGTTAATGGTGACGCGTTTGTTCTCTTATCAGATCATGGACGGACCGGGAGAGAATGACCCCGACCTCGTCCCCGCCACCCACCCTCGTTTTTGCGATGCCATCAAGACGGACGCAGCTTACAACGCTCTCTTTACCAGAACATTCCAGAATAAAACCTTCCATGTCTACCGGCTCAAGAAGAAACGCAAGAAAAATACGAAGGGCTCATCAGAGCCCAGCGTGACTCAGTAGCAGGACCAGGGCTGCAAGACAACCTCAGCAGAGGCCAGAGGGGAGAGAGGAGGAGAGGATGAAATAAAAGTGCTGAATCCTTGCTGTTCCTCTGTCTCCTCTTTGCACTGCGCCCAGCTGTGATCATGGCCATTATTTCTTCAACACGTGGCTCTTTGGACGTGCTATTACAACAGCGGGCCGCTCTGCACTTCGGGCTGC